ACTTGGAGTACAAAGATATATGAGATAACAAATTCCTATAAGTTTTTCTGAATTTATTTTTTTTCTTCAATTTAGAAAATCCGAACCCTTCATTAATTTTTTTTTTTAAAAAAAAAAATTAAATAAAAATCCATCCTGAAAAAACAATGCCAAGTACTAGCCAAAACATTCAAGGTTATTTATTACAAGTTTATAGTAAAATATGGTAGAAAAAGTGACTCTAATTCGGTTAATATAAATTTTTAGCAGCACGTGTGATTGAACCACATAGTAATGCAGTTCTTCATGTTGGAGAAAAACACGTTATCCAATGGGTAAGTATATTTTTTTCCCAAATCATTGAAATTTACCCTTTCTACTCTTGTATTTACCACACAACCTTTTCCTTAATCAAAAGGACACATCTTCCAATCCAACCATAACTGATATCGTGTCTGCGAACCTCTATAAAGGTTTCGGTTCAGACATCAAGCTTATACAATCAATCCCCATCAACCGTAAAGCTTCAGCAGGTTGTTCCGAACCTTTTGTTGTGCCAAACACGACGAGAGGTTATGATTATTTTTTCAATTTAATTGGAGGAAATGGCGAAGTTCTAGCTAGCTATTATTTTAATATTACTGCTAATAAACAATATACTCGATATTGTACTAGATAATGATTAAAAGCTCCACCGTTTTCAAAAAATAAAATTTTTTTTTGTATATAATAAAACTTTTTATCAGATATAGTAAAAATATGACGTTTTGTTGTACGTGGGAATGCGCCACATTATAAAAAAAACTGAACTTTAAAAAGACGTTAGTCTTATGCGGCTACAGTGTTACACGATGTATCCTGTGTATGAAAACGCGAATCAAAGGGATAGATAGATACATAAAAAAAAAATAAATAAATAAATACTTTCCACTGGTATATTTTCACTTTCCAAAAAAATTTTTTTTTTTTTTCTTTTTTAAAAATGGGTGACAATTTTGGTCAAGAAAGTTTGGAACCTTCAGTAAACGGAAATAATGGGTTCAAATTTTCAATGGATTCTTTACCCATTAAGTCACTTTCCCCTTCATTACCATTAACTACAACAAATTTACGTTTTGCTTCACAGGGTGACCTTGGTAAACTTTTTGCTCTACAAGGAAACAGTTTAAACTTGGACAATGTTTCTTCGTCTCCTTCAATAGCTGATCAACTTGAGCCACAACCTCCTTTCATCCGTAAAATAGCTCGCCCGATACCTCCCTCATTAAATACAAATATAACTCAGTTATTAATGCAACATAATCATATTAACAATAACATTAACATTAATAATAATCATAATAATAATGGTAGTAGTGGTAGTAGTGGTAGTGGTGTTGGTGGTAGTAGTGGTAATGGTGGTGGTGGTGGTGGTAATAACAATAACAATAACAACAATAATAATAATAACAATAATATTAATAATTTCGCTTCCGCTTCACCCAGTCGAGTTGATAGCCCTGATGAGACGTCAGGTCATCGAAGGAGAGATAGCAATGTTTCGGCAATGTCTATACAATTATATGATGTTATTGGTTCCGGTCATCAAAGACGAGACAGTAATGTTTCAAATATGTCTATGCAATTAGACACTCCTACACCCTCTAGCGAAACAGAATCTGGTAATGAGGATGAAAGTAAATTAGCATTTTTCCCTTTCACATTTTCCCAAAGACCTTTATCAATGTCAATACCTGGAACCCCTACAACACCCCCAGCTCATATTTCGAATTTTTATTCTTCATCTACAACAAGACCATTAATGTCTCATCACCCTCAACGTATAAGGAGAATGAGTTTAGATCTGAATGTGGACAGTAATGGTGATCCAAAAATTGAAAAACCGTCACCTATGCATCGTGCGGTCAAGGCAAGGAGGGCCTCTCTATTGGTAATAAAAAATATTCCCCTTTTTTCTCTCGTGTGTTATATATTTAAAAGTAAAATTGTTGACTAATTTCTTTACAAATATAGCCAAAGACCAAATCATTTCAACGGGTTGTTAATGAGCTTCAAGATGAATTGCAACCAATTGAAACAGAAATCAAACAAGAATATAAAACCACAAAGGTCCTTAAGAATGAATGTGATAATTATATGGATACTGGAAAATTACCAGATGTAATTATTTAATTTTTATCAAAAATCATATTTAAAATTTTGTAGTGTTAAAATTTTTTTTTTCAATCTTTCGAAATAGGAATTCCTAAATAATTGGATTAAATTTCGAGACATCCAACCATCACCTCCTGTTTCAAAATTAAATCCTGAGGTTGATATGTCGGTGAGTGCTTTGATGATTTTATTATTAATTTTTTTTTTTTGATATAATAACTAAAGTGTCAAATTGTCATCCAAAAGTTTCGACAAGATACTCCTTCACCAACCTCTTCTGTTGGAGCTTGGTCTATAAGTGGTAGAATAAAACGAAAAGGTATAATTATATATAACATTATCATTTATTGCCCAATTTTATAATGTATATTAACATATTATTTTCCGTAAAGCATCAGAGGATCGCTTTGAACCCTATTTCAACCCAAAAAGACGTGCCGTTTCACCAAGTTTGGCTGCAAGTCCACCAATTGTATCAAGCGTCCCATCTCCTCCAACTGTTGCTAGTTCACCATCATTTTCAGGAACAGCGTCATCTAGTGGAAATTGCTCAACAAGAGGACAAATAAAGGGAAATAGTAATTTGGTTAATATGCAAGATGCAAACGGGAGTTTTAGTAGAATGAATTTAAACGGAGAATAATTAACTTTATAATAAAAGGAGGAGTGATTTATGCGCGAGAAATTTGATTTCGAATTATCCTTATTTTAATCGGATTCAATTGATTAATTAGCTAACGAATGACTTAATAATCGGTCTAATATTTATTATATTAGATATACCTTTTTATTCGATTTTTATTTGTAAATAGTTTTTTTTTTTTTAATACAAACAATACAAACATTGTATTAAAACATGGACATTTTCTTTATAAAAAAAAAATTTGAAAAACACAGTTGTAATATAATATTATTCTATTAAAATCACGTTTACGGATCATAATGGGACCTTTGCAATAGAAAGGAGGGAAACTGTCGGAAAAAATCAATTTTACTTTTATATGCCAAATATGATTTTTATAACATTTTTTTCCAGCCGTTCCCCCTTTTCTATTGCAAAGGTCCCATATGATTTATTATATCTGGTGACTCAATAGAAAAATCTCATCGTTTTTTATTGCCAAAATTATAAATAATATTTCTTTATTGTCCTGAGCGAAGCGAAGGACTATATATTTCTGTGCATTGAGTAAATATTGGTTATGTGAGCGTTTCTTTCGGACTCACAACGGTCCCCGTTATCCTAGTAATTAATAGTAATTGTTCAAAATAAAGAGAAAATAAGTCCAGATTTGACAAACTCAAAAAAAAAAAAAAAAAAAAATCTTTTTCGGAGTTTCAAATAGCTCAAATTATATTATATTTTAAAACACCTTTTTCTTTTATAAACTGTTAATCAAATAATGATGTTTTATTTTAATGTATAATTTATCCAATTTTTTCAATTGCACGAGCAGTATTAGCCATCACCTTTTATGAATTTCGGTAGAGGAAAAAAAAAAAAAAATTTAAGATCATAAATTTTACTTAAAACATCAACAATTTAATTAACAACTTTAATTAATTTGATCAAGTAAGAAAAAAACACGGTTGACAACTAGTAAAATTAAGAGGTCGTGAGTAAATCTTATATCGCGTGCATAAATTCATTGATTTTTTGTTTCATAACAATCAAACTTCTTGGATGGAAGATTATAATTTCCTACATCCTGATCAATCTTAACAAATTTTAGGTTTTGAAGTTATTAGATTAAAATGTAATAAGTTTTTAATTTTAATTAAAAATTTCTCGGAATTTCCATATGTATTCAGCACCATCGCTTATTTGTTTTTAGCTACAGGAATAATGACATTTTTAAACATGGAATTAACCTCAGCGATAACTTTGGTCCAGAAATATTGTTTCTGATTTGATTTCAAAGAAAATTCTATACAATCGAACAAAACTATCGATAGAAAGGATTTCGCGGATTTAAACAAAAAGGTGCGTTGTTTCTTTTGTTAAGGAAGGGTATCTCCTAGTTTAATTACTGTGTTTGTTCGTTCCTTCATTGGATTTAAGCTAGCTCATGTTTTGGTCTTTCCATCATTAGCTCTATTGAAAAAGGATAAATAATTAAACAATAGTGAGTAACAGAAACAAAAAATAATCATGTGCAACCTCAAATATGAACGCCAAGGCGTCAATACACACTCAGTAGTAGAGATAGAGCATTAACGTCCTTCCTATTAGAGAACACATTTTCCTCTAACGTATTGACTATTCAGCCTTTCCTATCACCAACTTTTAGTCCGCATCATGAAGTGTAGTGGAAACTGGGGAGTTTATATAATCACATAAACGATCTACGAATTACGTCATTGTGAGGATAATTTTACACGTGGTACTACCTTTTCGTAAGCTCAATGACAAACTATGGTGGATATTTTCAATGAACAACTCCTCGATTATGTTGTCATTAGAAACGCACCAACTTTACTTGGCAATTTATTATTTTTGATGGTGATGCCTGTGGGTTCAAGTTGATTAAAAAAAATAGTTGGATGCCTAGATCGATACTTCTATCCCAAATATTTTGTACCCACAAGTTTTATGACGAAAAATTTATTCGTAAATTGTTTCGCAGTACGAACCTACTTTATATTTATAATAATCCACCCGACCCTTTTTTTCGGCGCACTAATCGTTATTATGTTGGTATCACATGAGCATTAGCTTAGTGACCCAGATTATTTGTGTCACTTTCGAATAAAAATTCTCTGTTTCTCAAATTTTTTATGGTTTGTTGAACAAACAAAATGTTATATCGAATCTAGATTTCAATTCTATATTATCTACATATTTATTTTTCTGTTTTTGGTCTCGCGGTTAAAGAGAAAATAAATTATTAATCCATTATTAATACGTTATTTATCATGTTCACGTTCAATTTATTAACTCCAGTCTTGTCCTTTTCCTTTAAACGAGTTTAATAACTCTTGACTTGACCTTCTCCTTTCTCTTTGAGCACTTTTCATGGTTTCTTAACTTTTTTCTTTTATATCCTGTCCTTACACTTGAAAACTTTTTCATTTTTTTTTCTTGAGCGGCTGCACTTCCACTCTACCAAGTCTCATTCTTTTTCTTGATGATTATTATTCGTATTTTATACATATCATTATTAGATTGTATAGTATAACCTTTAACAGAATAAAAAGTTTTCTTCACAGTTTCCTTGGCAGTTTCATAACTTTCTTTACTTTTTACAAGTTATCAACAGTTTCTTTTAAACTACCGACCGTTTCTTTTATTTCACCGCTCAATTGTTTATGCCCTCATAATCCTTTAGCGGTATTATCAGATTGTAAAGTACGTTTACAGATTGGGTGGTTAAAAGCATCTTTAAATTATCCCACTACAAATTATCACTCAAGGGTACTTCCATTGCTTTGTTAACCGTATGACTTTTCTTGTGAGGTTTCTTTCTTGTTAGACCCGTTGTGAATGAATTTTTACCTTTCAAACCCATTTGGTGGATTTGACCTCAGAAAGGAGTGAATTCACATAAAGATAAAGTCTTCTAAATGATAATGGATTTATTTATTAACATGCACATCTTTTTCCTTCATCCCTTTCCACTTTTATAAATACCCTCTTTTGGTTAGCGTAATTATTAGCCGTAATTAATTTTTCCGTTTTCTTTTTGGACATTTTAGCGCTGATATTTCAAAAAAAAAAAACATTATTTTAAAATAAGGTTGCTGGGTAAAACCCGAAATCGAAACCCGAAAGGTTTCAAAAAATCAATTAAATATTTTAACGATAGGTAACATCAAAACTAATTAGAAAAAATATCAATTTATTATAAAAAATTAAAGTATTGATTAAATTAACATAATATTATAAAGTAAATTAAGATAATGTATGAATAAGAAAGCAATTATAAATACCAAGTTCTCTAATAAAAAGCTTTTTAAGAAAAAAAATCTTTTCCTTAACAGTAAGAATGAGACAGACAATTTTATATAAAATATTTGCCTCTTTCAACCTCTCTTTTTCTTTCTAAATCTTTAATTCTTTAAACCTCTTCAAGCTCTTCAACTCTTCTGCTTTTTTAATAATTTCGACCAATGTTAAATTAGCTGGCACATGACTTGGAAGTAATTAAATCTCTCTATATGCACCTTTAAATGCACATGCTATATATTTTTCTCTAATGCGCAATCATATTCAGTCCAAGCATATAGAGATCATATCAAAAAATTTTTTTTAAATACACATCGTTTCAAATCAAGACTGTATTACACAAGATTTGTCCCCAAAATTTATATGCTAAATCTTTTCAATAGTTTCAAAAGGTTTATGATTAATATTATAAAATATTACTGATAATTTTATGGATTAGAAATGATTATTTATTCTAATAACTCGAATTTATTCTATAAATATTTTTTAATCTTCACATAAATTCATTATTATAACATATACTTGTATATGTAATAAATAAATAAAATAAATAGATAATTTTTCAATCCCAATACAAATATAAATATTCATTAATTTATCTGTTCTTCTTCATCTTTATATTTTTTCTTATTTTCATCTGACTTTTGATTATCTTCGGTACCGCTATCTCCATCACCATCTGAATCAATAAATTGTTCCCTATTAAGTATTTAAAAGATATTAGATCTTTTCAAAATGAAACAATAGTCAAAGTATTTCAAAAGTACTTACTCTTCGGTATCTACTTTAGTATGCTGGAATTTTTTCATAATTTTTCCTCGAAATATGAATATAGCCAATCCAATTACACCAAAAATAACGATTATAAGTGTTGTAGTACCACTAACCAAAAAAAAATTAATATAAAGCGAATTAATAGATTAGTTAATCATTAAAAAACCACAAATTAAAAGGTAGCATTTACTTACGCATCATAATAACGATTCCAAATTTCTTGCTCGTTTACAGAATCTGAATCGTTTTGTTTATCGTTATTTAGTTCCTATACATTAAAACAATTTTTTTTTTTTTTTGTATTTAAATAATGCTTCATTCTTAAAATATTTGGGAAAAAAAAAAAAAGTCGATTGAATAAGCTTACTTCCGACTCGATCCTTGATGGAAATTTTTCTATATGATGATCCAATCCCATAAATCTATACATCATATCCATAGTTACAAGAGGAACATCATATGGTACCATATGACTTGCGTTATATACTTTAACATATGTAAGATTTCTCTCTGTGACAATATGCCCTGCAAGAGTATCATTAACATACCAAAGTAATTTTGTATTATTCTACAATAAAAAATAATTATTAAATAATTTTAAATTATGGACAAATTATTGATTTGAAATTACCTGAAAACCTTTGTAACCATTCCATTCTAAGTTACTTATCATGGCTTCAGTTCCCATATAATTACAAATTATATCTTGGTCTCCACTATTTTTAAAGAATTATAAAATAAAAATAAATAATTTATATAATTTGAACTTTAACAAGAGAAATATACAGACCTGTATATTAATACATTGATTTGTTTTAAAATTTCGGGAAATAACTATTAATTAATAGATGAATTAATAACTCATAATGTAATTTTAAAATAACTTTTATAATAAATGTACATACCGTTATAGAAGGTGGACTTTTATCACCATCGAATCCCATGTTAACTGAACTGCTACATTCTATCCAAAAACCTTGTCTCTTAGTTGCGTGAAGAGATTTAACAACGTCAGGCCTCTAATACGCATAAAATTAATATATATATATTTTTAGGAGAATAATAAGTTATTGAAATCATAAATAATAGAGAAAATAATTACACGCAAATATTTATAGACAGTAGCTAGTTCGTATGGCCACTTAAGCCCACAAGAAGGATATGAATCAGAATGATCTCGGATATCGTATTGATTTATACACGTCTGACCTGTTTTAACACTATATATAATATTTTGGATGATTTTTTAATTAAATTAAAATTTTACATAATTTTTTTTCAAAAAAAAAAAGAAAAAGAAAAAAGGATACCGTTTCCGTGAGTTCTGCAAAATTATGCTAAGAATTTGTTCACATTCTTCGACCTTGATTTTAGATGATCCCTTTAAAATATCGTTACATACTTTTAATTGTGACTCCGCAAGAACCTAAAGAAAGGAGAAAAGTAAATTTAAAGCATTGCCAATAACTAAAAAAAAAGAGTGTCATACCTTATAATTTCCGTTTAGAAGATTATTAGCCATTGAATAATTATAATATGAACTATACTGATTATAAAATATAATTTATGGTTAAAATTTATTAAAAACTTTTTATGATAATAAACCATTCTAATTTTTTATACGTACTTGTGTATTAGGATCAATCCATCCATTTCCGATCGCTATTCCTCGTAAATTATACTAAAGACGGTAATATATATATATATATAGTTTATAGATATTTCTAAAATAAATAAATTAATTAAAAAAGTTCGAATTACCTTTTGATAATCAGGTGTTTTCCTTTCATTATTACGTTTCAAAATTCCATTTGCTATGTATGGTATGAATGTCCCAGCATAGCTCTCTCCGGACAAATACATCTAAATTTTAGATGATATTTAATAATTTGTGATTCGATATCCTATCATATTTAATCATTAAGCAATCTTACATCATCTTGAGAATATTCTGGAAAAATTTCAAAAAATTTATCAAGGAACGATAAGAATTGTTGCGTGACTTGAGTCATGTTCTTCACATAAGCGTTTGGTTTTGAGAAACTAAATCCTGTTCCTACAGGCTGATCAACTTTTGAAATAATTTATTAAAAATGAGCTATACTATTTAAATACCAAAATAGAATCATTAATTTATACCTACCATACAACACATTAGCAAACTCATTCCATCCTCCATATAAAGGTTTCAATGTTTGATCCTCATTAATCCTAAAAGGTCCAGTCTCAAGAAATACACCATCCATACTAAATACAAAGAAATTCCGTTAAATTATATTAAATAAATTTGAGTAAACAAAAAAAGTAAATTATTACCTTGAGCTAAGTTTGCGAAAATACGTGAAAGAGTAAAATTAATTATACATAAGAAGATAAAATGATAGTTCACATAATAAACATAAACTTCAACTTACCAACCAGGACCTATTCAGTGATTTTAAAGATTTAAATTTAATTACGATAAACTGTACATTCAACATTAAAGTTAAACCTTATAACATACCTCCATTGAGCCAAATAACCTATTTTCAAATCGTAATTTAGGTTAATAATTCTTTAAATACAAAAATAGTTAAATTAAATAACTAACTAATTTAGCTTTGTTAGCAATATGGCGATTATGCATTAGCCAAAAGAATATATTAGAATCTGATAGTTCATCAATTGTTATGTGCCTAAAATTTAAAACATAATAGTTAGCAAATTGAAAAGGACTTTTTTTTTTGTTAAGATAAATAAATATGTATCATACCCAGCATGTGACTTCAAATTTACATGATCCGGAAGACCAGGTAGTGATCCCACATAATAATCTGCAGCTAACGGTGAAAATCGAGTAATGAATTAAAAGTGCTTTTTTCAAAATTCAATATCAAAAAGATAGATATAATAAAAACCATTTGCTGCTTCAGAAACGTTGGAAAATGCAAAGGTGGCCAGCCCTATTGTAAGGGCCAGAGTTTTAAGATTAAACTTCATCCTTAGAAAGAGTGAATTATAATTACATCCGTCAAAAAGTTGGTTTACGATAAATTCAAAAATGTAGGTTTTAAATTGTTTTTCTATTTTTGAAAAACAAGCCTCAATTAGGTAAGTTGTATGCATGTGATCGATGGATAATTTTTACGAATTTAATTTTTTTTTTTTAATAAACTTTTTTTTTAAAAAAATGGAATTAGTTAACTTTGAGCAAGTAAAACGTTCTATTGAAGAAGGCACAAAACATTGTCTTAAGGTGCCTTTCTTTTTTAATTTATATGCTTTATTCTTAACTCTTTTACTAAAGGTTATGTATTTTATACCCATTTCATAATAAAGAAACTTAAACAAGATCCTTCAGACTATGAGTGCCATTCTGCACTTACAATAATACTTAATGAGAATTTATCTGCACCTACAAATTATTCAGAAAAAGAACAAAATGAATTACTAAATTGCTTAAAGTTTTCAATTTTACCTTTAAACGAAGAAGAAGAAAAGGTAACTTTCTAAATTTTACGGAATTCTTTTTTAAAACTACTTATTTACATTCCAACGGAATTTTTTTTTTAGATCAAACTTTTAAAACAAATTTCTTGGGATGTGTTTACGTTGATGATGCCTTTTCTTTCATTATCTGATTCAACCTCAAATATAGCACAAGAAATTGTTCAAAGCATCGCACAACACAACAATGCACGAGAGACACATATGATGATTATGGAAAGGTTTAGTTGGCTTGAATGGAAGAGTCAACATTGCTCTACAATGGAATTTAGCAACTTAATTAAAGTCCTAAGAATAGGTTAAGTGGTTTCTATATTCATATCAATAATGAACTAAGTAGTATTTACAATAATTCATTATTGATGATACTTTAGTTCTCAATCGATTGGATAGAAAAATTTTGATTAAATTTCTACCAGAAACGGTTCAAGCTGTTATTCGCGTATGGTCGGCGCTGGATGAACTTGATGATGTGCATAGAGATATTGTTACTGATAGTTTAATCCAATTCGCTGAAATCATAGCAGAGCTGATGGAAGTGGAAAAAAAGGTCAGAATGATAAACGAAAAAATTTTAATTTAGGTAATTAACTTCATAAGCTTTTAATAAGTTCTTTGATATTAGGAACTTAAACTTGATCCTACACGAAAAGATTTAGATAATCAAGAATATTATTTATCGAGTTATTTGATTATCACTTCATTTGAGAAATTTATTCGATCAACTCATATTCCTATGTCCCCCGCCTATTATGAGATATACCATCCCAAATTTCACATTTTATGGGAACGTAAGCAGAGTGCAGGTGTTCGAACTATTGATAAAGCAAGATTAATGAGATTAATTGTAAGTAGATTTAAAGGATTTAATAACATTATACCCAAATAACCAACTGTTCTTTTATCAGCAAGCTTCTATAAAAGCTCATATCTCTATAGATCAACTTGTGAATTATATTAATAGTTTAATTAAAGAGCCAACTGGTAATAAGACTTTGAATCATTATATTTTCTTAATGATTGAAAATTATTAAATTACTTTCCTACCTATTTAAGTAAAAGACAGCATATTTTCTACTAAAGATTTCCCTATTTCACCAAGCGGAGTTATAATATATGTGGCAAGCGTTATATATTATCAATTTATGCACCAAGATGATTCCAGCGTAGAAAAAGCTGTAATTCCTTTGTCTCCTGGATGGTTATTCAAAAATATTGTTTCCATTGCTTCAAAATGTCTATCAAGGTAATATTTTAAAATGCGTTTTGCAACCTATCTAATTTTAACTAATGCAAATATCATTGTTCATAGCGATGCTAAAGAACTTGAAATGGCGGATAAGACTTTACTTGTGTTATTATATTTGACTGAGAGAAATGAAGAAAATACTATTTCTTCAGACCACCTTGAGGCTAAATTGTCCAATGATGGGACGACCATAACACACTTATATCAATTTATCAGTGTATTTGCATCAACTTCACCAGATGAAACTTTACGTTTCATTTCCTTTAAATTACTTTCGCGTTTAATAACGCTGTGTAAAGATGATGCTAGGATTTTTTTATTACGTGAATTATTAACAAATTGTCCATTTGAGACCATGAAAAGTGCTGCGATTGAGATTGTAAAGGAAAATGTTGCTCAAGGATTAGATAAAGCATATGAAAGTAAATCTAATGATAAGGTAAGTAAAATAACTAAGCTTATCGCTTCTTTTGGATGTTTGTACTTAAATTCATTATTATTATTTGTCATAGTCTACCATTTCTGTTTTTGCTAGCAGATTTATTATTGAAACTTTCTTTCCACATATACTTCGATTTGAATCACCCTCAATACTGGAAAACGAAAAAGAATTTTCAGAAAAGTATAGTTTTATTATGCAAGGATTGAATTTTTATCTTTTTTTATTAATGAGAGATAAAGAGAATTTGGTATGATCTTATTTTAATAATTGCTAAAATTTTTTTTTTCTTACTCATTGGTTTTTTATATTTAGACTGGAGTATGGAATAATAAACAGATAATTGAAACAAATAAAGAATATATAGAACCAATAAAAAAGCAATGTGATATCTTGGCAATAGAATTCGGCAAAAAATTAGAGAAATTGAATAAAAATGTTCAAGGTAAGTGTTTATTATGCAATTATGCGATTAACATTTTTCACTTTTTTAATAAAATAAAATAAAATTAATATTATAAAATTTTAGAAACATCTCATACCGGGCATAATCATAATGATATTTTATCAAATTTTTCCGAAAAAGTACAACCAAATACAGTAGAATTTAATCTTTTATTAGACGAAACTAATCTTAATAATATACAATTTACTCCATCTCAAGAATTAGCGGTATAATTAATTCTTATAAAACAATTCATTCTTATAATATGATTCTTAATATTAATTATTTAATTTATAATTCATATTTAAATTTTATAGATATTGCAATCAAATTTATTTAATATATATCTTATACAAGATGCTGTTAATAGAATTCAACAAATTTTAGTAAAATAATTTTATAAATTTAAATAAAGGCATTAATAAATATATAATGATAATTTATTAACTTAAAATAAAATATTATAAGCTTCATAATATATGAAATTAAAGATGTAATAGGATATTTATATTGTTTAATTTTATTATTTTAATTTAAAATAAATTTAATATAATAAATAGTAATATTTTTTTTTAATATTAAATCAAATCAAATGATTAAATCAAAAAAATCAAATAAATGCTTTAATATTAAAAAGTGATAAATATCATTATGTTTAATATTAATAAAGAATACTTTAAAAAGAAATTTTTATTAATAAAATATATATTTTAAATTTTAAATAGAATTTTTACTAAAAAAAATTTAGTAAAGTTCATTTTAAATTTCAAAAGCAATTTTACTAAATAAAATATAATAAATATATAGAATCTTTGTAATAAAAAAGAAAATTATCAAAAAAAAATCAATTTTACTTTTATATACTAAATATGATTTTTAGATTAAAAATATGTTTAAATTTAACATTAATTCATTTTGTATTTCTTTAACAATTTCTCTCTTTTTTATTACAAAAGTTCTATATTATTAAAGTTAAAAATGATTTTATTAATCAAATAAAAATCTGAATTTTAAAAGTAATATATTAAAAAAAATATATTTAATAAATTTAATAAAATATAAATTTAAGCTTAAAAATAGAATTAAATTAATAATAAATATTAAAAATAATACCTACTATAATTTAAAATAAAATTATTATCTAAAATTACAAGTTTTAAATATAAATGTTTTGCAATAAAAAGAGAAAAAATTATTAAAAAAATTTTTTAAATTAATATTAAATTTGAATTTATTTACTAAAAAATAATATTTAACTTATTAAGTAAAAAATTTTTTTTGATAATTTTTTTCTTTTTACTACAAAGTATCTATATATAAAATATTTATATATTATAATTAATTTATAATATTACAATTAATTAATTAATTTATAATATAATTAATATAAATATATAAAAATTAATTTTTTATAATATTTAATTTTATTTTATAATATATTCTAAAAAACAGTATCTGTTAAAGTATCTGAAATATTATAATCATATGAATACTAATAATATTCACTGTATTACTAAAAAATATCACTAAAAAAATTATATCGCTTAAAATTTATGTATTGTTAAAAATATAAAGTTAAATTAAAAATATATCGCTTAAAAATGTAGTACTTAAAAAAATATATTGTTTAAAATAAAAATTTATTGCTAAAATAAAATATATCAGTTTAAAAAATATTGCTAAAAAAATATATAGATAAATTAAATTTGTAATTATATTTTGTATTATATTATAAATATTCAATTTATATTTAATAAAAATTTTTTTCATAAGAAAAGTATTCTGTTTTTTTAATTGTAACTTTTTTGTATTTTATTTTTATTTTTTTTATTTTATATTATAATATAATTTATATTTTATAATAAATAAATAATTCATAATTAAATAATTAATATTAATTATATATTCATAATATGAGAAAACTTAGACAATAAACATGTATCTTTAGTAGTATTCTGCACAGATTCAGATCTGATCCATTAGATTCAGATTGAATTTAGATCTGATCTGTCAAATCTGAATTCAAAGCTGAAAATGAATTTTCAGACTTCTTTAAAGCTGAAAATTTGTTTCTTTTTATTGAAAAGGAATGAATTTTCAGATCTCTTTTAGAATTGAAAAGTTTCTTTTATTGAAAAGAAATGAATTTTCAGACTCTTTTAGAGTCAAAAAGTTCCTTTCATTGAAAAGAAATGAATTTTTAGATCTCTTTTAGAATTGAAAAGTTTCTTTCATTGAAAAGAAACGAATTTTTGGACTTTTTTAAAGCTAAAAATTTCTTTTCATTGAAAGGAAACGAATTTTTAGACACTTTTAAATCTAAAAATTTGATTCCTTTCATTAAAAAGAAACAAATTTTCAGAACTCTTTTAGAGCTGAAAAGTTCCTTTTATTGAAAAGGAATGAATTTTTAGATCCTTTTAGAGCTGAAAAGTTCCCTTTATTGAAAAGGAACGAATTTTTGAACACTTTAGATCTGAAAATTTGTTCTTTTTTATAAAAAGGAATGAATTTTCAGATTTTTTTTAGAACTGAAAAGTTCTGTTCATTGAAAAGAAATGAATTTTTGAACTTTTATTAAAGCTGAAAATTTGATTCCTTTCATTAAATAGAACAAATTTCAGATCTCTTTTAAAGCTGAATATTTGTTTCCTCTCATTAAAAAGGAATGAATTTTCAGACCTCTTTTAGAGCTGAAAAGTTTCTTTCATTAAAAAAGAATGACTTTTTGAAACTCTTTTAAAGCTGAAAAGATTTCTTTCATTGAAAAGAAATGACTTTTCAGAACTCTTGTAAAGCTGAAAAGGTTTTTTTCATTGAAAAGGAATGACTTTTCAGAACTCTTTTAGAGCTGAAAAGGTTCTTTTCATTAAAAGAAAAAATTTTTGTATCTCTTAGAACTGAAAATTTGTTTTCTTTCATTGTAAAGGAACGACTTTTCAGAGCTCTTTTAGAGCTGAAAAGGTTCCTTTCATTGAAAGAAAATTTTTTCGGATCTCTTAGAACTGAAAATTTGTTTCCTTTCATTAAAAAGGAATGACTTTTCAGAACTCTTTTAGAGCCGAAAAGGTTCCTTTTATTGTAAAGAAACGACTTTTCGGATCTCTTTTAGAGCTGAAAAGGTTCCTTTCATTGAAAGAAAAAATTTTCAGATCTCTTAGAACTGAAAATATGTTTCCTTTCATTAAAAAGGAACGACTTTTTGGAACTCTTTTAGAGCCGAAAAGGTTCCTTTCATTGTAAAGGAATGACTTTTCGGAACTCTTTTAGAGCCGAAAATGTTCTTTTCATTGTAAAGGAACGACTTTTCAGAACTCTTTTAGAGCCGAAAAGGTTCTTTTTATTGAAAGAAAAATTTTCGGATTTCTTAGAACTGAAAATTCGTTTCCTTTCATTTAAAAAGGAATGACTTTTTGGAACTCTTTTAGAGCTGAAAAGGTTTCTTTCATTGTAAAGGAATGACTTTTCGGAACTCTTTTAGAGCCGAAAAGGTTCCTTTTATTGAAAATGAATGACTTTTCAGAACTCTTTTAGAACTGAAAAATCGTTTTTCAATAAAAATTTCAGATCCAGATCAGATCAGATTTGGATTTAAACTGATCTATCAGATCCGGATTTGAGATTTGATCTGTCAGATTCAAATCGGATCTGGATTTTAATGGATCTGTCGGATTCAGATCAGATTCAGATCCTGAAAAATGAAAATCAGATCAGATCAGATTTTATCCAAATCTGATCTGATCTGATTTTGCAGAACACTACTAGTTAGACTAATCTGATCACTTATCGAACTAACTCGATCATTTATTGAGCTAACCTGATCACTTGCTAGACTAACTCGATTATTAATCTGACTAGACTGCTCACTATACATATTTTTTAACTTCAAGTGTCTTTTAAGAATAGAGGGATATCTGAATTCCTTTCTACAGTACTGATATGTACGATCAGCGTGAAAACTTATTTCGCAGGCTAGTTTTTTTGTCTTTATAGGAAACCATTCTTCTGATTCCTTTCCTACAGTAAAAACATTACGCTGGGACTTGTGAACTGATAAAGGGATGATAATAGTTTTTCCATTACATGTGGCTTTAAATTCTCCTTTTATTAAAGGCTCCCATCTGGCCCGATATTGCCATTGTGTTCCAAGAATAAATAGTGATAATTCTTTTCTACTATTATCATATTCTGTAGGGACGACAGAGAATTCATCTAGAATAGTGTCTCTATTTTCCTATCCTCAATAGTTACAGGAATAATGTTAACTGTTCCAAGGGAGTGTGACTTACTAGCGATCCCATTAAGCCTATGAATCTTCTTTCTATCTATTTTAAGCCCCAAATGCTTTGTTACATTTATAGAAACTATAGACGAGTCTGATCCACTATCAATCATTGTATAAGGAATAGTTATGTCTCCTACTTTACAGGAGATGGTCGCAACATCATCAGCATTCTTTATTTGGAGAAAATTTATCTCTCGTGGTATGGGCCAATATATTTGGTTATTTTTTTTTTCAGCTAAATGACATTGACCAGATCACTTTGCGATCGCATATGCTTTAATAGCATAGTTTAGAGTATTAGAACCTACTGGTATTATATCATTCATGAGATCATCTGATTCAGTCCCTCTGTGACCCTCTAGCTTCTCTTCTATCGGAACTTGAATAAGAGGTTTTTGCTCTATATTTGTAGCTTGGATTAGCAGATGTAAAACATCTATAATTTTATTTGTAACATACCCCTATACTTTTTCCCTTTAATAACAGTATCATCTTTCATAGCTGTATTCAGAATCTGATCTTTCAATTTAGGGTATATTATATTAATATATTGAGAGCCTTCCTTAAGAATTTCTTTAGGAATATGTTGTACAACTGATGATAATATAGATTTTAAGGCTATTAGAAAAATATAATCTACAGTTATAAATACTAAGGGTTCTGCTTTTTTACGAGACTTGGAAGTAGGGGACTTCTTGGTTGCTCCTTCTTTTGGCCTCTTTTTCATTGGTACTCCACTTCGCTTCACTTTTTTTTTGATGCATAGTAATTTCGAGGTTCATTATTATTTTTATCAACATATTCAACATATTTAATATATTCATTATCTTCTTCTATTTCCTCTTCTTCCTCCTCACTAACTTCTTCCTCATCTATGTATTCTTCTTCAAAATCTTCAGGTTCTTCTTATCTTGGGCCGAAGGCGCTAAAGCATATACATGATTAAGC